TACTGTTTACAATATGAATTGCATAAAGGCCCTCTCCTCATTACCTTTTTCTTTCAGCAAGAAAATGAACACACAACAATGCGATAATTAGCCACGGAGCCAAGCTCTGTCACTGCCAAGTAACAAGTTGCTGCAGTTTTGTTTTTTTTTTGCTTTTGATATCCTGTGATATCACCCTCCCCAAGTGAAACGCCGAGAGCCGATTCCAGACAAGCGCACAAGCTAGATTTTCCCATCCTATCCAGCACCCAAAACTCCACGAGAACAATGGCAGCATTCAGGCACCCAACCATCCACAGACAGTGAGCGGTTCTTCATTTCTTCATGCTCATCCTTTTCCTTGAAACTGACAAGTGCTGTCATTTGTCGAAAAAAAAAAACCAGCCAGTAGCTGGAAATCTTTTTTTTCTCCTTCTCTCTGATTTCCACTGTTATTTTCAATGACCTGTGTTTTTTTTGCTCGCAATTAGTTGTTTGCAGGTTTACAGTTGATAAAACCCTTTTTCTGGCTGTATCGAATAGCTATGCTCATCCCTGTCATATTGTGTCACGTTCTGTACCCCGTGCCACGCCCCTCCTGACAGTAGACTCCCTCCTATAGCCGTATCTAATCGATGTGAGTGAGTCTCATTTTGCCCCTTCACTGTTAAGGGATTAAGAAGCAGTGCCAGAGGCAAAATCTGGCAGGCTGCCATCGAGATAAGCATATGATTTACATTGGGGGGGTGGGGGGGGTCATATGCATCTGCATAAACAAGTGAAGGGTATCCTCAGTGAATAAACTGCACACATTTAAAGCCTGCTGAAATAGCATCATAAACGTATCATGTATTGGCCCTTGTCCTGTTATGCAAGCAGTGGGTTCAGGAGCATGGTGCAGGTGATTTCCTGATTCCTGGGCAATGTCCAATAGAGCATGAAATCATGACAGAACAATGAGTGAGTATCCCCTGTTTATGAATATGGAAAAGTGGACAAGCCTTGATAATGGTTTTGGCCTTTGTAATTCAGGTCACTAGAGTTCACATTGTAAATATCCTCTCATGCTTTCAGTGGGATATTTTTAAATATCATGTATGAATTATTATTTTGATTCCTGTACAGCCGACACATGAACTATATATATACATGTGTGCTTCATGTGTTACAGTACAGTAACCATCACTGGTGTTTGGTTGGGTTGCCATTTGTGGCTTTTCTGGATAGTGGTAATTTGGGCAGTTACTTTATGGGTAGCCTGTAATGTCAATCGGATACCTCAAATATTTCTGGCTATTTTATGATTCCTAGGGACCTGGGAGTAGTATTAGATTCCTAGTAACTGTTCAATGTCCTACTAGGGGAGTCCTGGAGAAATCTCTGTAAAGGCAATATATTTACAACCTTCTTTTCAGCTGTGAGATCCAGATAATATGATGTTTTTTGTGTTGGGGATTACCGCTTAACAGATGTTTTCACATGGATTTCAGTTAGCAACTCATTTACTACCAGAGCATGTAATAACTGTCTTCTGCCTAACACATCTTGATCTTCAGTGCTAGGTGTTTGTCATACAGATACTTCTGTCTTTCTTGCTTGATTTTCTAAGACTCAGTTCTTCGCCTGCCTTAAGCACCACATAGGGCCCCATGCCCTCAGAAAATATTGGAAAACATTGAGAGTTGGAACCCTGCAATATAGCTGAGTATGGAAGATTACAAACATGGAGACAAGGAGGTGAAAGACCATCCAGGCTCTTGTTGCAGTCCTAAAAAAAAACAATGAAATAGGCCTGCAGTTCACCAGCCACAGAAGCAGGCGAGAACGTCCTCAGTCCCTTTCCTGCATTAAAGCTCTAGCAGGGGGAAAAGTGCCCTCCATTTCAACCCTTCAGCGCATTAATTTTGCAGTGAAACCAGCATCACAGAGTGGCATCTGTCCCTCCAGCATGGTCTGATTTCATTTGCCCAGTCGAGCCACATTTGGGGTGGTCAACTTCTGTGATGTTGAATGCTGTATGATTTTAGCTGACGAGACACAGACATGCTACCCCAGGAGGTTTGCCAACGGCCAGCTAGATGCAGGTACACACAAACAGGCACATTAGTGTGTGGAGATGCGTGAGGGATTTGCAGCTTCCTCCTTGGGCGTTTTGCTGCATTTTTCTATGACCTGCTGCTCGCCGTTGCCCACTATGCACGTGTGTGTTTGTGTATTAGTAGAGGGGGCTGTTGTGGGTTGGAGCTCAGAGAGTGTGTACGGGGAAATGACAGGGTGTGGGGGTGGACTTTGAGCTTGACCATGTTTAATGCATGAGGCTTAATAGCGGGAGCCCATCTGCGGAACCGAAGGATGGGGGGGGAGGGGGGGCGGTGAGTGATGGCGGTGGAAGAGACACAAGATTACCACCGTAGCAGATACATGCCTGCTGTTTGAAAGCAGCGTGAACAGCACTTAGGTGGTGGCCGTCCAAATCTGCACTCTGGGTCTCCTCACCCTCCTGGGGCTGTTAGATGGAGTATCAGGGAGTATCTTGTGAACTGTGGGATTGATATGATTTGGCCAACTCCAGCACTTGCACCAGCACCACTACTCGTGTTAAGTTTCTCACACACTAATTAATATAAGTAGGCAGGAATTGTTATCTTGAGAAAGTAGCTGTTGCATCCTGACCGCGTTCCCACCTTCATCTCTCATTTTCGCGCCATTTCTTGTTTCTGGGATGCCAAGCAGAAAGCTGATTTGAATATCCCCAATCCTCATGCCCGAGGGGACTGATTGGGCTCTGCTTTAATATAAAGCTCTATGTTTTTCTACAGCCCCCCCCCCCCTTAAATTTGCAGCCATTACTCTGCAGAAGCCCTCCCCAGCACAAAACCATCCTCTGTCTGCTAACCTGTTCCCACACCCCTTCAAACAGTGGTTCTTGACCCTGGTCCTGGGGGAATATGCTGGTTTTTGTTCCACCTTTGCTCTTAATTCATAATGCTTGATTGAGCTGTTACTAATTAAAGGTTTAAATGTTGCATATACAAAAATATCAAGTTATAGACCCTAAGAGTAGGTTTTAATGTATGTCTTTCTATCAATAAAAATGTAATATGTTTTCATCTTACATAACAGTGATTCTTTAGAAACCAAGCACATCATTCATGTACATCACTGAAAAAAAGGATTTTGACATTATTCTTTTTTCAAAGACCTACATTCAGAATCAAATTTTCCTTTTCTTTTTGTTTTTGGAGAGATTTATTTCTGCATGCCAGTATGGAAGTAGCAGAGTTGTATTTGTGCTAATTCAAGGGACTTAAACATTTACCAGTTACTGGGTTTGTTTATTATTGTATGTTGTTTATTTGCTTGTTTGTTTGGTTGTTTGTTTGTTTGTTTATTTGATTGATTGATTTTGACTTTCACAGGAGGCAGTAAAAATAGCTCTTTTGCCACTGTCTGTTGTAAATGCTTACAGTGTCTTGGTCTTGGAGGTGGCAGTACCACCACAGGGCACAAGGTTTGGAAATATGTTTTCAAAAATATATGAAAAAGATAAATATTATTTACGGTATTAGCAGGTTAATCGTTAAAACAAACAAAGGCCCCACTGCAGTACATATTTGTTTTACTCAGGGTCACAGGGGGTCCTGAGTCTATCCCGGAAGCTACACATGCAAGGCAGGGAACAACTCAGGGATGGACTGCAGTCTTGAGTTGAAACAAAGTCTTGAGTTCAAACAAAGCTTAGCATAAGGAGGAGTCTTCCAGAAGCCACTCTGAGAACCACCACACCGGTTCTTTTTTTTTTTTTACATTGTGTATCAGGCATGCCAGTGTTCAATGTCTATTTTTGTGTCTTCAAATTTTAATTTTTCCCAAGTGACTTAAAGCAAACTGGAAGGCTCATTGCTATGTCTTTGTTGCACGGGGGATGCAGGCAGACAAATCGGTGTGTGGAAAAACAAAAGCAGCCCTGTGAATGGCCAAGGGAGTCTGCTTCAATAAACGCGTCAGTCACTAAAGAATGACAACTAAGTATTTTTACCCTATTGTTATGCAAACGGAATTCGTACGAGTCCTGCTCTGTGCAAGTTAATTATGCTTAACATTTAAAGGAGTGTACTTGTCTCAAAGATGGCGGGTAAGCTGTGCAAAAGGCAGGCACCTCACTAATTTGTATTTGTGTTGGAAGGGCCCCTTGTGCAAGTCTAAGCTCCCGGTCAGCTGTGTCTTAGCCGGGACTGATACGTCTGATGGCCAGCCCGCTGAATGAGCACACTTTGCAAGCTTATGATTCACATTGTTCTAACCGTTCGGTCTCTGTTAATCCATCTGCTGAGATCATGTCTAAATTTAATTTTGCACGCAGCCAAATTTGTTGCCTACAATAGTCTCACTTGCAGCTTTGTTTCAGACTTGTAATGGGTAATCTCAGCCAACAATATTGGAAAAATAAGCCTTTTTTTCACTCTCAGCATACAAAAAAGGATGTTTTGAAGGCTTGATATGAAAGGCTAAATGTAAAGATTAACAGATGGGCAAGTACAGGAGAGGAGGGCCAGCAGAAGTTATACTCCACTTTCAACACAGTTACAACTGAAGGAATGCTGGCTAATTATTTGTTCTCATGCACAGTCCTAGTCATTACAAGTATCTTTTTGTTGTTGTGTTTGTTTGTTTTGCTTAGAAGAAAAAAATGCTTTGTTAAATACACTGTATAAAATAGTTTATCTTCTTGACTTGAATTATTCAGGAAATTCCAATCTTCTCTCATGAAGTTGAATGACTTTTTCTTCTAGAGCTTTGTTTCTCAACCCAGTTCTTGGGGACCCATAGACGGTCCATGTTTTTGCTCCCGCTCAGTTGAATGGAGCAAAGACATAGATTGTCTGCAGGTCTCCAAGGACCTGATTGTGAAACACTCTCCTAGAGATTATACACTCAAGCATGTAGAATGTTTTATTATAACAAGCAACAATAATGACAGTTAATTATGTTAATGAGACAGCCGCCCCCCATTCTCCCAGCAATGGCTGAGTTCCACGTGCAGCCCCAGTCGGTGCATGCAGAGGAGGCGGGGGTGGCCCGATTCCAGTGCCAGATCCACGGGCTTCCGGAACCTGTTATCAGCTGGGAGAAGGACAACCAGCCTGTGGACACTGACAATGAGAGGTAAGTGAGCCTTCAGTCAGCACTGGTGACCTATTCCTCACCCGCTTTTAATGCAGTGCTAATTAATCCCACCTAGTCCACACTCCATCACAATGTAGTGCTAATTAATCCCATCTAGCTCACAGCTCGTCACAGTCTAGTTAATTAATCCTATCCTGTCCACATGCTATTACAATACAGAGCTAATCACTCCAATTCAATTCACGTTCTGTCATAATGCAGTGCTAATTAATCCAACCTAGTCAATATCCAGTGCATAATGCAGTGCTAATTATTTCAACGCAATGTACATCCCAGTGTATGATGCAATGCTGATGAACTCATCAGCAATGCAGTTAATGCAACCTAACCTTTACCTTAAGCTATTGTCATTTTATGTGAAGTCTACTCTTATAGCCTGAGGCTGCATTCCCCCATGCTGAGTCTCATCACCACAGCTCTGATTTAACAATAAATTATCTTCTGGCTTGGAATGTGGCTCTGTGATCATGACTGGAAGGTCACTGGTTCAAATCTTGTGGTGGGCAGAACGATTGCTCTGTTGAGCCTTAAAACAAGGCCCTTAACCCTAGTTGCTAGAGTGACTCACTGACCCTGATCTCTCAGTTTTGCGTTGCTTTGGATAAAAGACTCTGCTAAATATATAAATGGAAATTTATATGGAGATATTGCACCAAAATACCATTATAAACGCTTATATAGTAAACTATCCAGCTGTACTTTAGAAAAGCATCCGATATATAAATATACAATGTATATAAACATACAGCTGTCAAGGAGTCAATTAGGTATAACTACAGCCAGGCTGAGCTTTAGCTGAACAGTGCATGTCAAACACAGTGATGGGAATAACGGCGCTATAAATAAACGGCGTTACTAACGGCGATACTTTTTCAGTAACAAGTAATTAAACGAATTACTGTTTCCCCCGTTACAACGCCGTTACCGTTACTGACAATAAAATGCGCGTTACTATAACTGAGAACACTGAAGCGGTTTTCATGCGAGCAGTGTCTCTCTCAGCCATAGGACCTCTCTTTCTCTGGGGTGTGTGTGTTCGGGGCCGGGGCGGGACACATAACCAGTGATGATGATTGGTGTGTCTGCACACGTGGTGTAACTGAGAACGCAATGATTGGCTTAGATTGAGTAAATTTCCATTGTTTACCAATCAAAGGCAGAGTAGTGCGGGTGATCACACAAAAGGACACGCACGGTCAGTCGCACACACCAACATCCAGGAATCACAACGATGGCAAGTCCAACAAATTCAAAGGTAGCTTTTGCAAACTGGAAATATAAGCACTACTTTTCCCTCGCTGAGGTGAAAGGCAAAAATGTTTATGTAACGTGCAAATTATGCCCAGGAAAAAAGAGTCTCTCTGCGTCGGTAACAAGTAATTCTAATCTACTGAAGCACCTCACATCGTCACATGCCGCCACAAAATTAGTGGCTAAGAACGCAGGTGATAACGTGAGCTCTGCTACCAAAGGACATTTCTGCATTTCTTCAGAAGCATAATTTATATTTAGACTTATTTGTTGACAAGTTGTGGTCTGTGCAATAAATATTTAAAGTTCTAAACCATCTATTGTGCTTTACTGTTTAACTATAGTAATGATAATATTTATAATATGTTGAATTTGATAGTTGTCTCTCACGTTGTCCCACAACAACATTAAATAGTGTAGATTAGTGTACAATGTTTTATATTTATTTATAGTTATATTAAATTAGATTTTTTTTTTTTTAAAGTAACGCAATATAGTTACTTTGCCTGGTAATTAGTTACTTTTATAATGATGTAACTCAGTTACTAACTCAGTTACTATTTGTGAGAAGTAACTAGTAACTATAACTAATTACTTTTTTAAAGGTACATGCCCAACACTGGTCAAACATAGCAAGAAGGACACTAAGAGCATTCTGGGAACATAAGAGTAAACTGTGCTTTGTGTTCCCCCCCAGGTATACTCTGCTGCCTACAGGAGTCCTGCAGATCACTGGGCTGCGCCCCGAGGACAGTGGCCTCTTCTGCTGCGTGGCCCACAACAGTGCTGGCGTCAAACGCAGCACAATGGCCAGCCTCACCGTCTCAGGTGGCCACCCACATCCTACTTCACGTCCCGGCTTGGCCTCACTGAAGCCACATATGGGCTCTCGGTCTAGCAGAGACATGTGCTTATCTATTTTATTTCATCTCTCTCTTTCAGGCTCCCAATCTTCCGTTTACAAAGAGCCCACGATCCTGGTGGGCCCTGAAAATCTTACTCTCACCGTTCACCAGACGGCCATTTTGGAATGCGTTGCTACTGGATACCCACGGCCAATAGTCTCCTGGAGCAGACTGGGTATGCTGTTTCTAAATCAGGGTGGCAACAAAGCGAACTTACAGCTTTGACTTTAATGAGTGATCCTTTTATACGAGGCCAAGAGTCAAGAATGACAACCAGTTCAAAGCCGACCTGAATACATATCCAAGCCTTCATAAATATAAAACATCATCAGATTTAACGAATCATTCGGATTTTTCTTTGGAGAAATCCTAGCCTATGGAACATGAGCCATTATTGAATGTTTAAAAAAAAAATCCCTGAAAATAAAGCTAGCAATCCACATAATCAGGTTACAGCTCCCTGGGTGTCTTTCAGCTCACAATAAAAATGCAATAATTTACAGTAATGTCTGTTTTTGAATTATAGGTTTAATCTGATTATTGTGTTCAGAAAATAAATTGCTGCCTGTACTCTGCACCCCTACTAGGCCATAATCAGATTCTGGATATTGCTTTGCTGGAATTAAATGCTAACATGATTGGATCTCAGAGGATTATATTACAGAGATAAGGCTTGGGGTGAGCACCATAATGAACTTAATAGATTTACATCAGTCAGTCTGTAATGCAACAGTCGTCTTGGTGGTTTCTTATCTTTAAGATTGTCCATTTCCCATGGCCTGCTTTCCATATTCTTGTTTGAAATCTCATTAGCGTCAGTCATATCTGGATCATTTGTAATGGCTGTGAGCTTAGTGTGCTGGGAGTTTCAGCCATGGACTGCGGGGGAATGCGTTGAGACCCCAAATCAGGCACTGCATTCTGCCTGAGAGAGACAGCAGCTCTTCATAATAAAGAAAATTCTGGTAATTTCTGGCTATTAGACAATGATTCCATATGTTTGCAATAGCTTTCTTATACCTTTTTGCAAAAAAATCCCCAGAATTAAGCTTTAATGCATACAATTCGAGAAGGGTAAAGCAGAAATGCACCAAATCAACATGCTGGAGAGCCTTCACTCACATGACACATGTGCAGGGACATTCGTAATCTCACCCCTCAGCCCCCTGCACTGATACTGAGGGACATCTTGTTACCATGGTGACAGGAAACATGCACATGACCGTTCAGGGTTATGCTGTGGTTTTGCCTGATTTGTCAACATTACTGCTTTGTAGTCATCGCTGCTACATATCCTGTCCAATCTCGAGATGCTTCTAGATGCTGCACTGGTATATCCCCAACAGGCTAGTATGAGGTGTATTTTATAGTTATCCATTATGCACTCATTTTAACATCTTACATATTTTCCTGTGGGGAGTGATATTGTGGTTAGCACTGTCACCTCACAGCTCTGGGATCAGGGTTTGAGTCTTTGCCATGACTCCATGTGTGTGGAGTTTGCATGTTCTCCCCGTGTCGTCATGGGTTTCTTCTGGGTTTCCTCCCACGGTCCAAAAATATGTGAGGTTAATTGGAGTTACCAAATTGCCCGTAGGTGTGCTTGTGTGAGTGACTGGTGTGTGTGAGTGTGCTCTGCGATAGGTTGGTGCTCCATTCTGGGTTGTCCCCTGCCTTGTGCCCATGGGCTTCGGACCCCCTGTGACCCTGAATAGGAAAAGCAGTTTCAGAAAATGGATGGATGGATTTCCTATGAGCCACCATGTTTTTTATTGCTAGGTACCTGACATCTTTATTCTGTGCTTCTTTGGGACAGATGGGCGTCCAATCGGAGTAGAGGGCATCCAGGTGCTGGGAACTGGGAACCTGATGATCTCTGACGTCAGGGTGCAGCACTCCGGCATCTACGTTTGCGCAGCTAACAAGCCAGGGACGCGCGTACGCAGAACTGCGCAGGGGCGGCTCGTGGTGCAAGGTGAGAATGACTGGCATAGGGGCAACAGGAAAATAAGACGATACATTCAGGAAAGGTTTGCTATGCTCCTGTTATTTTCTATTGTTTGTTATTTATTGTAATTTAGTGTCAGTTTAGTATTAGTTCATTTAATGCTATGGATTTGTTTAAGGTTACACCTGTGCTGAAGCATCAAATGAAACTTTGTACAAAACTGAACTGTGAATACAGAACTAGTAGTGAGGCTGATTCGACAATTAAAGAGAAAATGCCATAGTTCAGCTGTAACTAGCAGCCAAACCAACTGCACTTTACCGGGTCGGTAATCAAGTCTAGCCACTAAAATCAAATGTTTAATTTAGGCATGATGTACTTCCTGATTGCCTAACGCTGTGCGAGAGAGCTGTAATCACTGATGGTTCAAAGGACTGCTAGAGGACAGGGGGCAGGTCACCTCCCCCAGGAAGGAGACAGAGAAACGGACAAGATGGGGCCTCCCTCTCAGCTTCATTTATCAGCCTCACGATGTTCATGCCAAATGATGAAAGGCTACTCTGCTGCTCTTCCCTCTGTCCTCTAAGCCTGTTTTTCACACCTATTATTGATATAATCTGCGTCCTAGATGGGTTTCGCTCTGCCGCAGCTCTTCAAATGCCCTGCACACAATACGGTGACAGGTCCAGATTAAATGCTGTGTGTTTAGCCTGTCTTCCCTTGTTCCACACCTCTTACTGGAGGGTGTTTGGATATCCTCATTGTGTCCTTTCTATATGGTGTCTGTCTTCAAAGAACACAGGAGCCAGGTTTGGTTTGGGTTCTTTTTTGGAACCTAAATGTGCCCCGTACAGTACACAGACAGCATAACCCAATTTTGTGTCGCTTCTTTGTTCCTGTCTGCTCAGCTCCAGCCGAGTTCATCCAGCCTCCGCAGTCCATCGCACGCCCGGTGGGCACCACGGCCATCTTCTCCTGCCTGGCTCAGGGCGAGCCTCTGCCGCAGCTCACCTGGCTGAAGAATGGCCAGGTGCTGGAGCCAGGAGGACATGTCAAACTCAGGAACAACAACAGGTGTGGCCAGGCCACCAATTATGCCTTCCCATGTGTCACGTGTCATGCTCACTGGTTCACATAATAAGGAAGCACTTCTCACTGATGAGTAGTGTCTTACACATTTAAACAGATGTTCCTCAACTTACATTGCAAAGAACCTGTCCTACGTAGAAAATATCATTGAGTTCAATATGAATATGATACGATAAATCACACAGGAAAAATACCATATTTTACATTGTTAAACACTGTATGAAATGTTTACATTCCCAGTCGCTAAAGAGACTTGAAGCATGCTGGATGGATGCTGCCATCACACGGCATCAGTAGAAAGTATCTTACGGCATATCGCTGGCCTGGGAACAGATTCAAAGTTTGACGACTACTGAATGTGCATTGCTGTCACACACTGTCTCCTCTATGCCACTTTCATGAAGTGGCCTCCTGGGATGCTTTTCCACCACCACCCACATATATGCTGAGCACTCATTGGGCTGCTTTTCCTTCACTCTCTGGTCTCAGGTCATGTGATGCAACACTCTATCACTCTCCTTTATAGGTGACTTTGGTATGCCCAAACTTTTGATTGGTACTCTATGTATATATAATATATTGTGTGTGTGTGTGTGTGTGTGTGTGTGTGTATATATATATAATGAATATTATTACATACACACATTAGCAGCATCACTCATCGATCTATCTCCCAACTGCTTCTCCTTAGCAGGGTTAGTGATATATAGCGTAATGATTTATCATGTATTATGAGGACTTAATATCTCATTATGTCGTATGAAACCAATAATGTGCGTAATGGTGTATGATTCAAAATGTAAGATAGATATATACAGTATATGGGAAGTATTTGCAGGATAGTAAGGGCCTTATAATTGAAAACGAAATTGATATAGTAAATGAGTTTAATGATTATTTTTCACGGGTGTTCACAGTAGAGAACACAAGTAACTTACCACCAATTAGTACGAATACAGCGTCGTCTATGACCAATATATGTATAACTGAGGCTGATGTGGTACTAAGCCTAGCTAAGCTCAAAATAAAGAAATTGCAGGGCCCTGATGGCATCTTACCTATAGTTTTAAAAGAGATGAGGGATATTATTAGCCAACCTTTAACTTTAATATTCCAGAAATCGTTATCTGTGGGTGTGGTACCTTCAGATTGGAAGCATGTTAATATAACGCCCATATTCAAAAAAGGGGATAGAAGTAATCTGGCAAACTATAGGCCAATCAATTTAACTAGCATTACTGGAAAAATAATGGAAGCTATAATCCAAGTGAAAATGGTAGATTACCTGGATGCAAATAACATTCTGAGGGATAGCCAACATGGGTTTAGGAGAGGTAGATCCTGTTTAACGAATCTACTTGAGTTCTTTGAGGAAGCTACAAGTGGAATTGATCACAAAAAGGCCTACGATGTGATCTACTTAGATTTCCAGAAGGCCTTTGATGTTGTCCCCCACAAACGGCTCTTGCTAAAGCTCAAAGCTGCAGGGATTTTAGGAACTGTGGCAGCTTGGATCGAAAACTGGTTAACTGACAGGAAGCAGCAAGTAGTTATTAGAGGCACAATGTCACAGGGGGCCTGCGTTCATAGTGGGGTACCGCAGGGTTCAATTTTAGGATCACTATTGTTCCTAATTTACATTAATAATATTGACACTAATACATACAGTAAACTGGTTAAATTTGTAGACGACACCAAGGTAGGTGGTGTAGCAGATACTGATCTAGCAGCAGAGAGGCTACAACGGGATCTGGATTTAATTAGCGACTGGGCTGATACTTGGCAGATGAAATTTTACACAGATAAAGGTAATCCATGCAGGGAGCAGAAATATAAAGTACAGATATTTTATGGGTTCCACTGAAATAAAGGTAGCTGATTACGAGAAAGTTCTCGGTGTGTATGTTGATGCTTCCATGTCCCACTCTCGCCAGTGTGGGGAAGCAATAAAAAAGGCCAATAGAATGTTGGGTTATATCTCTAGGTGTGTGGAGTTTAAGTCAAGGGAGGTGATGTTACATTTATATAATTCCTTGGTAAGACCCCACCTAGAATATTGTGTGCAGGTTTGGTCACCATACCTTAAGATGGACATTGCTGCCTTAGAAAAGGTGCAATGGAGGGCTGCGAGAATGATTCCTGGTCTTAGAGGAATGTCTTATGAGGAGAGGTTAGCTGAGCTGAATCTGTTTAGCCTTGAGCAAAGGTGACTAAGGGGGGACATGATCCAGGTCTATAAGATTCTAACGGGTCAGGATGCTGTTCAGCCAAATGGTTGCCTAACTGTTCAGCCAATATTAGTTTAAATACTAGAACTCGTGGCCATAAGTGGAAATTAGTAGGAGAACATTTTAAAACAAATTTGAGGAAGCACTTCTTTACACAGCGTGTAGTTACAGTATGGAATAGTCTTCCTGCTAGTGTAGTGGAAGTTAAAACCCTGGGTTCCTTTAAATCAGAGCTAGATAACATTTTAACAACTCTGAGCTATTCTCCCCAAACGAGCTTGATGGGCCGAATGGCCCCCTCTCGTTTGTAAACAGATTATTAACAGATGGAATAAATAGACAAAGAACCTGTTGGAAAACTAAATTTAGAAAGCAGAAATTTCCAGCATTTTTATTTGATTTTATTCCCTGTTTTCTTGTCATCATTTCTGTTGTTGGATTTGCGTCACCATATGCATAGACATAACTGTTACTCATAGCCAGCATTGTCTGGGTGATTGCTGAATGTACTTTGTTGTATTTTTCTGTTGCTCAGTAAGATTACAGCTGCAGTCTCTATCAGAAATGTATCTTGGGTTGCATTGGGTTGAGCTGGTGCGCCCTGTTTCCTAATGGGGGAACTGAGCTAAGTTTGGCTGACAGGAATGTACTTCCTCAGTTAACGACTGAGCTGCACGATGCCTTATTTGCTGGCCAAGATGGTGACAGCGCTTACAACGTGCGCTTTGAGTTGCAGGCTCTGGCCAGTATGCATCATGCAGAGTTATGATGAGGTTTGTGTATGAGGCTTCAAGGGCCACAGTTACTGTTGGCAGGGGTCCAGCGTTCTCCCTAATGACGCGGCTCTGGGGTGCCGTTCCTTCAGGCAGCTGCTGTCCCTCAACCGTGGAGAATAGGGCAGTGTTTGCCAAGGCTGGTTTGCTGGTGCTGACCCTGGAACAAAAGAAAATAGTTCCCATTAAATCTGAACTGTTGAAACAGGAGAATCTCAGTGTTTAGGGGATTTCTTTCTTCTTTCAGTAGACGCTGTTGTTTACTGCAATATTCAAACTATTATGCTAATTATGTGATGTAAATCTGAAAGATGAGCAAATACCTTTCTCACTTTTGTCATCCTGAACACTTTGAATGCCATTTCTGCAGTTCTGGTAGCATAATAAAACATTTTATTCTGCAGTAGTAGCTGTCATTAAGAATATGCTAATCTGTTTTATTTTTATTTTTTTTTTGATTACAATCAGAACCTCACATTTTTTTTCGCAGAATAAGCACGTTGTACATATGCCTTCAGTCACAGTCATTTCCTTAGGTTACACTATGCTCTGATTAGTAAGACTTAATGCATTTCAAGTTTTTATTTCTCACCTTTTTATTTATAAGCATAGACATGCAGGGTATCACTTATTTTCAGTGATTTTATTAATGATGTCTAATATTAATCTGGATGTCTAGATGGATAACAAGGGCCATCAGTTGCTGTGAGTCTTGCATCATTACATGTCTTTCAACAAAAATGAGCATTTTAAATATGCTGGGTCCCACTAATATTTTTGTTTCTTGATTTGTTTTGACCTGTCTTTCATACGGGGGGAATGAACACCCTGATCAGATAGAAGGGTTTGTCGGACACATGACAGCAAATAACTGTAGGGGTAAATGAGGCTGATGTTGAGGTCAGCATTAAGAGTCAGTCCTCCCCGTCCTGTTATATAAGCAGAGATGGAGATTTCAGGTCCAGAGAGTACAAATCCAGACCAAGATTTTGCTCAAAGTTTTTGCTTTTGGTTGAAACAAAATCTTGGTCTGGATTTGTACTCTCTGGACCTGAAATCTGCACCTCTCCCTGTTTGAGACATTAGATAGCAGGTGGGCAGCATTTACAATAATTTTGCCCTGCACTCTGCATCATTTGTGGAGATGGTTGTTATACTGTATTTGCAGATCTTTGGAAGAAGCAGACAACACAAATAGAATGAAAAAAACTGTCCAAGCACAATTGGATATTCATGTTATTGTCAGTGAGTTAATGGATTCCAGCCATCTGGGGTTAAAATTAGGAGTGATTTACATATTCTTCTCTGTGGTCACTTTCTCATGGCCCACAGATGATGGCGACCAAAGTGTCTGATTAAGTATTCGGCTTTAATAATACCCTCCCCTAACCACTGTGGCAATAAGCTGCATTAGGAGAGCCAGTGAAAGACAGAAAGTGAGAAGGTGTCATGGCATGCGAGAAAAAAGGACTCAAGGACGGGCATTAGGCAAAAAGGGGTTTATTAACTGAACGAGAGAAGGGAAACAAACGAGACCGTGAGGGATCAGAACAACAAGGCGAGTATGGGGAAGGATTATGGGCAGCCAGGAGGTGCGACCGGATGACCGGACTGGGGCTGACGAGACAGACAGGTACAAGGGGTAACAAGCAACAGGCGTGGCTCATCAGGAACACAATCGGGATGGAGACAGGAATGTCAGGTAGACAGGTCAGGCAGGATGTAACAGTGAGCCAGAAAGGTGTGTGTAGACAGATAGTTGAACTGTTTGAAACCAAGATACTGAAGGAAGGGGCCATTTTTGGACTATACTCGCAGGCCCCATATTCAATGTATTATGCTACATCTGCATATTATCCCCGTCTGCATAAGGCTTTGTGGTTCAGTGGGTCACACTGTTGCTTCAGATGTCTGGGATCTCAATTTTGAATCCTGCTACTGCTGTGTGTGTCGGTAGACTTGACTTGTTTTCCCCGTGTCATGTTGTCATCCTTCCATGGTTCCATGCAGTTAGGCTGGCTTGCGTCTCTGAGTTACCCATACTTTGTGTCTGTGCCCAGTGGTGGATTGGCATCACATCCAGGGTGTATCCTAGCCTCCAATCCTCCACACAAGACTGACCAGGATAAATGGCCAGAAGGTGGATAAACAGTGACTTTGGTGTCACATAGAGAGATACACTTTCTTTGATGACTTTCTTTTTAAAGCTTTAACACTCTGCAGTTGTGCCAATACAGTGTTGTGGTGACACTTTAAATGATGTTAACCATTTGCCTCATTAAGGTAATTGCCTGCATCCTGTACCTAATAGAATTACTCTGACCATTCTGTATGTCACCCTAATTACACTTGTAGGACTTTTCTGTCCCAGTTTAAAATGAGGTCTGTCTCCCTTTTACTTCATTCATGTCACCACCTTTGCTCACTCATGGTTCTGTGTCCAACCCTCAGCACACTTATCATCTACGGGATCAGCCAGGAAGACGAGGCCATCTACCAGTGTATCGCAGAGAACAACGCCGGCTCCACCCAAGCCAGTGCCCGGCTGACTGTACTGTGGGCGGGCGGCCTGCCGGGGGCACCTCGCTCACTCCGTGCTGATGCTGTCTCCCCCACCGCCATCCAGGTGTCGTGGCAGAGTCCCCAGCAGAACACTCAGGACATCATCGGATACGTGCTGCACATCCGCAAGACAGCAGGTCTGATCATGACTGAAAGAGTCAAAAAGTTGCCACATAAATGTGGGAATAAAATCCACAGCCATGGAGGCAGGGGCGCAACAAAGGGGGATAGTTTGGACAAAGGGCCATAAAAATTTGGTCTGGTTGGGCCCCCAATATGATATGCTTCCATGGGGTCTCTTAAATGAACTGCCCCCCATCTGCTTCAGTGTTTTACACCAAAACAAGGAAGTGTCTCACTATTTAAAAGTTTAGCTATTAGAATAGACCAGGGGTCTCCAACTCCGGTCCTGGAGAGCTACTATCCAGTAGGTTTTCTGTCCCACTTGGCTTCTGATGAGCCACACCTGCTCCTGGTATTTACCTGAGAACAGGTGTGGCTCATCAGAAGCCGGGTATGATAGAAAACCTACTGGACAGTAGCTCTCCAGGACCGGAGTTGGAGACCACTGTAATACACTATTTGAATCTGAATTAGCCCTGTCACATAATATTCATGCATTTTCAAACTGCTTGTTCATTGTAGGATCACGCGAGGCTCTAAAGCCAATCACGTGAAACCATAGGGTACAGTCCGTCGAAGGGCACAGAGGTGCACACGATCTACAGTATGGGCAATTAAGAGAAGCCTATTAGTCACTGGACTGCAGGAGGAATCGCTCATGACACAGGGAGAGCAAGTAAGCACCATACACAAGGAGTGGAAGTCCCCAACCTTGGACATAACCATGGTTACTTACTGAGCCAGTTTAAGAAGAGGTTCAAAACAAAATTGGAAGCATGCAGCCAGGCAGGAGGGGAACTGGCCCAGTGAGCAGTGGTGTTTGCATGCCACTGCCGTGAATATGGTGTCTGCTGTGGGACCCACGACAGCTTGCTTTTAGGGCAAAACACTTGTTTTTAATGCCTTATAAATCAGATGGCTCCATGGTGACATCCATGTCTTCAGTATGGAAAAGATAAAGCCGCCCTCAATTGATAATGGAATTGGAATTAATTTTATGGCAGAATATTTCCCGCCATTTATTTCCTTTTCACGTGAAAGAGGTGTAGGGGGAGCTGGTTATTTACAGCAGTGCTTATTAGCAGGGTTCAGCTGCTCCCCCCTGCACTGCAGTGCTGTTAGATGGGTAATTACAGACCCTAGGGGCTATTCAAAAGAAAATGCATTAATTAAGACAGCAAATCCACATAGGAGAAGGGAGGAGAGCTATAACGGGTGTGTACCTGAATTAAGGGGTGTTTATTAGTACCAAGAACGCAAAGAACATGTTCTTGGCAAGAGTGGTCTTGCTAACTTACCTCCCAAGAACGTACGTGGGACACAATGAATCATGGGATTATTCTTGTTTAGCAAGGATGCAACCAATGCATCCTTCATATTTGATATTTTACCATCTGTACTTCTGTTCTTGAGTATTAGAACTGTACTTTGCACAATGGAAGATGATGTAAAACGGGTATGCAAGAGCATAAATACGGTCAAGTGTGCATATTGGTAAACACCCAAGGACTGAAGTGCAATACTGGTGCTTTTTCTGTCTCTGTCCATTTTTTACTGGAAAATAGGTTCTGTTTTTAACAAGCAGCCTCCTTTCATCTGATCATGTACCCTTATTTGTTCATTTCATTTGTTATTCTTTTTGATTTTATTTTCAATCACACACACACACCCCAATCCCCAACCATACGCAGACCCAGTAGAAATGGAGTATCAGGAAGCCGTGGGCAAGAGTACACTGCAGCAAGTAGTGAGCGATTTGGAGCCCTCCACCAGCTACACCTTCTACGTGAAGGCCTACACCTCACGTGGTGCCAGCAAGCCGTCGGAGCCGGCTTTGGAGAACACGCTGGGGGAGGGTGAGTGCAGCCGGGGCCGTGGTAGAGACGGAGTAGCGCTGTGACCAAAGTTGACGTAATCGAGTAGATTACCAGAATGAAACTCAGGGGACTGACAGGAGCCCTAGCGTAGGGTGATTAATTAACAGAGACCCACTGCTTCTGTTACAGCACCGGCAGCTCCATCTCTCCTCACCAGGCTGGTGAATGCCACTACAGTGCAGGCCTCCTGGGAGCCCGCCGGCAAACTGGGCCAGCATGAAGGCTTCAAGCTCTTTTACCGCAAGGTGCACTCTAACACGTTCTCCGGACCGCTCACCTTTGCCCGCAACGTCACCGAGTACAACATCACACAGCTGGGTGAGCTAATGTTTCCAGGGGTATGGGATCCAAGGGGTGGCCGGGGAGTGGGATGGGATCATATGGGGACGCTTCTGTCCTTTCCGTGCTGACTAAACGAGCTGATTATGAAGTGAAACAAGCCCCTGGTCCCTGTGTGTTGACCTTTGATGCAACCCCCCTCAGACCCAGCACTGGTTTACGAGGTGAAGGTGCAGGCCTTCAACCAACATGGCGACAGCAACGCCACCGTGCGCTTCGTCTCCCTGAAGGAGGCTGCTGAGAGATCAGGTGACTTCCTGACTCCGTTACGCACACATAATACTGGTCATCGGTGGACAGGGGCCAGCAGGCTTAGCAGTAACCCCGAGACAGAAAAGAATTTTGGGGCAATGTTCGACACTCAATATTTTATTCCCTGGTTGTGTGCCTGGTGGGGAGCAAACAAATTTCTTTTATTATGTGCCTGAAAGATAGATGCAGATACTCAAGCATCACAGAACACTCTGTTATAGCTGGGTTTAAAATGCCTGTTCATTGCCTTTTGTTGTTTTTGAATTTCGACTTTGCGGAGAATGGTATTGCCTTTCCGTGTCCTTCTCCTCTCCACTCCTGAGTCATGGATTTTCCATCTATAGTGCTGGGAACCCCATGTAACTGTGTGAAGGACGACCAAAGCAAAAGCTCCTCCACTGCAATCATCATCGGGATTCACTTTGGGGTCACCTGCATCATCTTCTGCGTGCTGTTCCTCATGTTTGGCTACAGGGGCAGGTAGGAGGGCACCTCTGACCGGCAACATGTTTTATATATCACACAAAACGCTTTTGCCATACACTACCTATACTGTGCTTAAAATGAAAAACATAATATGAAAAAAGATATGTAAGGGATAATGTACAGGCAGCCGGTAGTTATCGCAGAAATAAGCCCCGACAGTGTGATCAGGACCCGACACGAAGCGGAGGGTCTTGTATCACACTGAAGGGGCTTATTTCGCGATAACTACCGGCTGCCTGTACATTATCCCGCTTATTACACGGCTACTTGCCACATAAGGAAAAAAACTGGACATGAATATGAATTTGAAACATTTTATTGGCATATTTGTTTTAAATTAACATTTTTAAATGGTAATCTTTGTTGGCGCGGAGGGATTTTAAACATACAAGTAGTACCGGCTATGCGTTATTACTTTCGAGCGGTTATTATTTGAAAAGAACGAACCTGCAAATGTCTCAACTGACCAATCAGAATCAAGCATTCCAGAGAGCCGTGCAATAAATAAAAATAAAATAACACCATTTAAAAGCAATAATATAAATGTCTACATTAACAAGACAGTGAAGACTGTAAATTATTAAAAAGGTGAAGCAGACCGTGCTCTCATTATCTGCTGACCTCTGCTCCATGCAGGCTAATGATGTGCAAGTCACTGCGGGACCGGCTCTCCACAGCACAGGCTGGGCACCACGTGCCCACACAGCCATCTCCCGCCTCCTCCCAGTCCCAGAGTACCCTAACTATCAATGGGATCACTCACGCCAGAGGGGAGAGAAATGGAGATGCCGTGGGGAACAGACAAGGAGACAGCAGTGACTTAGAGAGGATCTTCCCAATGCCTTGTCATGAAGGTGATCTGAGCTGGACTCATTTGGTAAGAACTTGGGCTCATATGATAGCAATCAATTGAAAAACCTTTAGTAATAACCCCCTTACAGGTTTAATATTGCCTAAGAAATTAACATCACATTTTATTACAGCATTGATATATACGCAGTCATGAGGCAATGGAATTAAAGTGAAGAATCTATATGAAAAATGTACTTAAGGGGGGTGGGTACCGTGCCACTGTAGCTCCAGATAAGTATTGCACAAGGGCGGAAGGAAGGGGCCTTCAGTATTGAGAGTATTGATGGACATGATGTGGAGGTAAAAATAACATGGAAATGAAAAGGCTAGCCTACTCCAGCTAATAGCATATATTCATTGTGTGCTTCTTTTATAACACACTGAAAGTTTGCCTTGACCAATTCTGCCAATGCCATTGTGTGTTTGCTTTGCAGACTGAGGGTTCTGTCACATCCTGTCCATTGGATGAGACTCAGATGTCCAGAGTGTCCTTGGAGGTCTTCAGGCTGGTTTCAGAGGGACAGACAGAGGGCAGGGCATCCATACAGATGTAGGGAGGAGAAGAGTTGCCAAGTGATCGATGCTCTCACAATCTGTGAGGTGTACTGCTTTGATTCTTATTCTCAGGTCATCCTGTTTTCTTTTTTTACTTCTTTTCTGTGCAAAGATTAACTAAATTAAACCACTTTTAGAAAAGCCACTGCAAGAAGGACCTGTAGCCTGGGTTTTCTTGAGTGATTACTGTCGGGTACTCTTTCATTCCTCTCAATCTTTATTCAGTCCATTTTAATCAGCTGCCAGCAGCAAGTACAATAATGGTCCAGAGTATTTTTTTAGTATTTTTAGCTCACATTTTTATTACAGACTTTCATGAAACAGTATATTGCAGTGTTCTTTTGCAGTTTGTGTTAACTCTTCAGTTCAAACAGACTCCTGGCCTGCGCCAGCCCGCCGGTGATCACACAAACCCAGCCATGAAAGACATGCTGGGCCTTTTCCAGGGATTCTTATGTCTCAGGTTTTTTCAGTCATATCAAAGGTTTTGTTTAATTCTTCAGCCTGCATTCAGGTTGATGACGAACCCCAGGATGTGCAAAATAAACCTACCTCAGACAGAATGTATTTTGGGTGGGAAACATTGTGGACTTGTCTTCCCTTTTAAACAGTTCATTTAGAGGTAAAGCAATCTGTCAGAAAAAGGCTTTGTGCTATCTTGGCTCTTAGAAATATTCACACACGTAAGAATAAAATAGAAATCCAACATAAAGCACTTCAAAACCTTGAAGTCAATGTTCTACCTCAAGATAATGATGTTGTTGTTGTCATTATTGTTATTCTTTTCATAATGAAACATTTACTTCTGTTGTGAGATTCTGGCCTTCCTCCACTGTTAGTGCAGGATTTGGTAGTACCTCATGCAAATGTACCATATGGCATTGTTTATAAATTGTTTATAAATTGTGAAGTATTTTTATAGTGTTGCATTCTTAGATGTGTTGCTGTTTTTGCATAGATATTTTACCTCAGTAGAATATAATTTTATTTTTAGTTGTGGTAGTTAAGTATAATGACTGTTAGAGATGCACTGTACTGCCACTAATATCTTCAGGATATTTTTACAGATATCGTTGTGCCAGAAATTTGAGGGGGAGGAGGGAAACATTTAAAATTTATCATGTCAAAACCATGCAGAAATCATGTATGTTACAATTGCTATAATATGTATGATGTCTTTAGAGATATAAGCACAGATTCATCACCACATCAGATTGGGGATTGACAATACTGAATGTTATAAATTTTAAAAAAACAACTGCTTCTGAATTCTGAAGCCTCACCCCAAGCTGCACAGAATAAAAAATATAGATGTCATTGCAAGATGAAAATCAAGGCTGGCACTGTGGACTCACTGAAAGAACTAGGAGAGTTCCCAATCAGCACGGCCCAATTTCATGCCCCTCCAACATTTCCTCCTTCTTACCTCTGACAAATTGAAGTCCTCTTGGTGTAAGAGCTCAGGAGTACACACAAAGCTACGAGTACAGCAGAACAGCCAGCTGGCTTTAAGCAGACTAATGGGTGTGAATCCATCAAGTAGACAAAGGATCAGATAAAATAGATCCAGTAGTCTAGTGGCAAAAGCAAATGGAAATTTCTTTTTCTGCTATGATTTACTGAAGTAAAATTAACACTCTGTTCTGGTCTCCCTGGCCTGTGTCCATTCATGATGGAATTGAAGTTGCTCCTGTAACATCGGTAGACTGAAAGAGAACACATACTCCAATCCCAGTTTGCCAGGAACACCGGGCTTGTGTCCAGGAGACCCTGATGCTGTTCGGCCATATGGTTTTGCTGTTCCAGCTGTTCAATTGCGTCACGTATGTGTCCCTGAAGCTTGCGCTCAGTCACCTACCTCAGCACTTAAAACCATTACATTCAGGTGATACTTCCTCAGTCTCATAGGAGGAGATGCAGAAAGATGTTTAGCAAGACACACAGAAAACCTCACTTCACAGCTACTTCACGAGTGAAAGTACAGTAATAGGAAACAAATTATGTTTTCCTTGTGCATATTATTCCAATTAAAATATATTACTGTTATCACATTACACTGGTTTTAACATAAATCATTTGTTTTTGTCACACAGATGTGTTGACTAGAGACCCTCGTTTTATTTGACTATTGCATTGTACACTGTTTAAAATGTGAGAGGTGTTTCTTCTTTATTGTCCTTCCAATCAGTTTTGAACATTTTTTAAGTAATTGAATTTTTTACGTAAGCGTCAACAATCGGTGTTTGTAAATAGCAATTAAATGGTATGTCATTTTTTTACAGTTCTTGTTGTTCTGAAGGCAATTTTTACAAATAAATATAGAAAACAAAGATGCAAAAGAACAATCTGTGGATAATATTTATTTATAAGATGATCCTGAATGCCGTGACACAGAATTTGGGTTTTTAAATAGAAAGCAGTGTGTATTGCGACTTATCTTGCAGTGTTTCCAATGGTATTTCTCGGTATTTCGTGAGCAATTTGAGATGAAGTAAAATACTTCTGTTGCCGTATGTTTGATTATGTAAATACTTTGTATTGGCAATTGTACTTGTTTCCGCTGACCTGAAGCCCTGTGAAAGTCTGATATCTTGAATCTGACAGTGCACATTGGATTTATATATAATATACTTTTGCCTTTCCTTCACTATTGTGTGTTTGAAATTAGAGGATTTTAGACAGTAGTCATAGTTAAAATTGTCACTAACAAGTAAAAGCAATAAAACATAATCATGCAATGTGACTGACTCACCTGTGTATAGATAAACTACTACCAATCAAATCATTCTGTTTCTATGCTTTCTAAACATTTATCTGCTTGAAAAACATGCATGAAATAATTTTAATGCAGCTTTACTGTACATTACACTTAATAGGCAGTGCTAAAAAATACTTTAAAAGCCCTAATCAGGATACACCCACTACAAGACAAGCAATCATATTTTGCTTGAATTTTGTTGATGTTTCTGTCTCCTGAGCTGGGATTGATAGGCAGAGTTCGGTCAATTTGTCTGCTGTTCCTGCTAAATTGGCTCATAGTGACTGATAAGCAACTCATGTATTTGAGAATATTAATCAGCATCCTCTCCTGTCGATGTTAAGCTGGGATAGAAGGCCATTTTTCGTTTATTTCGTTTGAACCAAATGTATGATAATCATCATAATCCATAGAAAACAACGTGGTTCAGTTGAATCCAATGTAGAGATTGCATTTGCATTTGATTTTTTAGAACTGTGCTGTTCTATTTTCTCCTTCTTTCTGGACTTTTTTTTCCTTCACAGCACCTCTTTCATCTAAATCTCTGTGGAGAAAGGCCTGTCAGTTAGAATTACCACCCCTCCTGGCTCAGATTCCCCTCAAGAGAATTAGAGACAAAACATTAACATGTTGCTAGCCTAAGCTACTGCCAGTGCTATGGCAACAGCAGGGTATTTAATACATAGAAAGAAGATCACACCGTGGATCTGTAAAACAAACATCTTTTTCTATGACAACAGTGTTACTGCTTTGGTTTATTAAATCCCTCCACAAAAGGGATTAAAATGCTACAATTTTACCCCCCCTCCCCCAAATCACACCCTAACCCCCCATTGCAAACTAAATGAAAGGTCTGAATGTGTGGTGTTAAACATTTTTATTGTGGCAATATTTAGCTGCTTGTGGAACAATGGTCTCCCTCTGTTTAATTTAGGCAGTACCTCAGCACTGTCCCATAACATTCTCCCACACTCCTTGCACTTGCACACCACATCCTAGCCTTTTGATGTGTCTTTATGCTCCTTGGGCTCCTACTGGCCTTTTGACGTCCACTTTTGGGTCGCTGGAGAACTACCAGTTAGTGCCTGTAATGTCCCTGCGCCGTGAATCCAGCTTTTCAACAGAGGTCATTTGAATCTTGTTCCTTACTGGTTTTATATTCATTGTAGTATGACTGGTTAGAAGATAGTGAATAAGAATCTGGTCCCGCTCCACTGTGCCGAATTGGAGCAATATATCATCTGGCCCTGATACCTCATGGGTATCACTTTCAAACTACTGCATGCTTCCCCGCGTCGCCAATCACAAAGCGTCAGTATGTGAAAACAGCTCAAAACAGGCTCGGTGCCTACTCCACAGCATTTGTAGCTCTAAATGCCTTGTTTTTCTAAGCCGTTGTCAGATCTGCAGGCTGTCATGTAGCTCTTCTTTTCAAGCCGACTGAGACATGTGCTTCTCACATCTACCTTGGCACACTAAATGTTGTGAGAATCTGGTGCTAAAGCTGAGCACCAAGTACACGTGGTACCTGAGAGGAATGTTTAACGGCACATCGCTGGGAAAAAAAAACAACGTTTCGGTCTCATTGCACAAATATGGATCCACCTCCTGAGAGCATTCCCCTGGGTAAAAGAAAAGCAGACTGAGAACGTCTGTGGACAGAGGGGATGTGGGGGATGTCGGAGTAGGTGGGGACTGATGATGAAATACCGGGTAAAACTGCCGAAATCCCAATGTGATTTACTTTGCAGAGAAGGATGCATTCAGAGATCAGACTACCTTTTTGTTTTGCTCGTTCCTGGTGAAAAATCACATTCTCTCAAACAAAAGCTCGTGCTCATTCTTGTGAAAAGAACTGTTTTGCTAAATATGGTGCTAAACACCTTTTGCCCTATTTCCTGAACAGAAATTACCCTTATTTTTTACTTATATTTGCCTTGCAACTATTCTATTTAGAAATGTTTTTTTTTCTAATTCTATAATAATTTTTGTATTATTATTGCAGTATTTGCAACCTCTCTATAAAACGCTAACACATATGAACCCGTAATAACCAGCATAACTGCCTCATTTAATGCTAATACAGAATGCTACAGATCAAATAAATTCTTTATATAAAAAACTGGTAAATGGGTCAAACATATGAATCAATTCTGATACTGGTTTGAACTTAATGAATGTTGACATTAGTTTCACGTAAGCATAGGCTGATGTGATTTATCATCATAAGATTTGTACAAATCACTCAGTAACATGAACATAATGGATGTATATCCATAAAATATCAAATTCAGTCATCTACAGCTTTTCATAATTGACACTTATATTTGCTGTTCAGATAAGATGATGAGTCCATTAAGTTCCATTATGAGGTGATGCAAATGAATGAATCCGTTCCCTGTTCTCTGACCTTTAGAACAACATGCAGTCTTTTATATTGAATTTATCTTAAGTCATCTTTTTGAAAATATGAAAATATTTTTTTTAGTACTTTAGAACTCTTTCAATACTCTGCCCATTTACTGCAAAAATATTAATCTGTGAAAATGGTCTAGCATACTGCACACCCCCTGCTAAATGAATATCCGCTGCATGTGTAGCCCAGAGAACCCTGCTGTCAACATAAGCACAGCACCATACTTCCTGTTCCATGTGTTCCATCCAATATGTTTAGTTATTCTTCTCCTATTGTTACCGATATGTTTATTTGTGAGCACGGTTTGCCAGCTACAAGGCTGGCGGAGAATATTGGACAGTTATAGGAATGGATCTTGCCTTCACAGTAAGGTGAATGGGTGATGACTCTGAAACGCAGCCACAATCTTACACCAAGCCTATTTCAGCACAATTCCCCTGTTCACATTTCCGACAGGTTTTCTGCCCTTAGTAGAAAAATACAGAGAATCACTTGTTGAAAATGCCCTGGTAGCCCCACCAGCTTCTTCCTCCTGGTTATGCTGCAATACCTAGCTCTGCCAGAGGGTGGGTGGACAAGTTCAAGCCCAGAGTGGTGGGTTTTATTAAAGAATATGAGCCAATGCAACATTGCAAGGGATGCTTAGGATGGTTGGTGGCCATCACTAGTGCCCTTTCTCTTTGTCAGCACCTCCTGGGTCAGGGAAACCAAGGAGATATGGGGGAGACTATGACATCAATTGTTAGCTGATGTAGGGCAGAATGAAAAAGGTTGCAGGCAATAACATCCTGCTTGACTCTCCCACAGCACGCCCAAGAGTGTCCTTTCAAAGGGGGACCTGTTTCTAGACCGGCAGCAGCAGCTGTGCTAATTTAATGAGCCTTCAGCCTTACATGGTCACCAGCTGTCTACAGCCACGGTCCGAATTCCCCACAGCTGTCTGCTGTCCAGGGTGTTGCCATGAGTCTGTGGTCACCTGTCCATTGGCTCTACCAGCCAATATCTGGGGGTCTCAGGGGCATCTCTGTGACAGGCGCTTAAGAGTCCTTCCTGCCCACCAGTGGGGCATGGAG